TGCACTACCTTGTGTATGACTATAGCTGTCTACATAAAAATTCAGAGCATTAATGTGTTGCAATAGAGACAGTTATACTTTCATTTCTCGTGGTAAAATAAAAATTCTTTTGTTATTCCTATTCAATCAAAGTTTGAAATATTCAGTTCATATATCAGCTGCTGCAGCAGTTTGCTATTGTGTTAAAGCTATAATATCACTGTGTCATTAAAAACTTATGAATTTATTATAATTATTTCTTAAAGGATCCATTATAAGATGTTATTGTTCTGAATCACATTCACACATAAATCTTGATGTTATGGTCAGCTCAAGTAGATACTGTATATAAAAAAGAAACTGTAATCACCCCAACAAAATGCTTCATAGTCTTAATGAAACAATAATCAGCTTATATAGATCTAACTGTCATGAAAATTACTAGCAACTACGTTACTATGAAGTTTTATAGTCTAATTGAAACTATTATATCAGCTCTAACTGTCAATAAAACTGACACTATAGTAAATGTAATCAACGAAAATAATATTATTGACATAGATCTAATGATCATAAACAGCTACCTGTTCTGAAACTGCTAAAATGATGAAGTTCTTATCAAAAACTTAAATAGAGCTAATAAAAATTCCCTCCTGATGCATAGATATCATTCATTCAGACAGATCAGTCAAGTTTCAATAGAGATCCGCGAGCGTTCCGCGTTGATCCGCATTTCAGCCCGATCCGCATTTGATCCGCGTGGATCCGTATTTCAGGCAGGCCCGGGATATAATAGACTAACGTAACCGGGATTGGCAACGGGATCACGTGAGCGCATGATTTGTGTATAAAAACTTTTTGCAGTCTCTGTTATGATTTTCAAGATGGCGACTGCCAATGTCTGACATGCCGTTAGAGACAGGAATGGATCCAATTATATGCGTGGGCGCAATCTGCGCATGCGCAGTACTGACTAAATTGTACTTCAATTTATAATGTTCATAACTCAAACAAAAATGTAAAAAAACAGTTCAAACATGAATAAATGCTTGTTTAGCCACACATTTGATTTCAGGTTACTCTGTTGAGTCTACAAGGAATAAGCAATATTAATAATAAATGTAAAAAGTACATGTACTTTGCATTAATGTTTACAAAGAACTTTGTAGCCTACTTTCATCTCTAAAAATAATTTGACAGGAATGTCATTCTACAGATAACGAAAACAAATTTTATACAGCAATAATAGTTTTTACTGACCTGGAAATATACTGGTGTCACATTAAGTAGTGCCAAGGGAAATAAAGAGTTGATAATATATCTAGTCTTGGGGAAATGTTATCTGTTTAAGCTAGATATTTCTGTGGTCCAAAATTTCTGCTAATTATGCAGATTTCAAAAACTATGAAAATTTAATCCTTTAAAATCAGTACAAATTGAAAGGTATGGTGATTTTGCTAAAATAAAATCTGCAAAATTCACAGAAACTTTGGGCGACAGTAATTTCTAGCTACAATTTCTAGGTACAATTCTAAACATTATAAATCATTTCATAAATAATTATTCTATTAAGTACCAACATCTCCAAATATAGCATCCAGAGTTTCGTTTACCACCATGAACAATACTGATAGCTTTTCGTGACATTCTAAATATCATAAAAACAGCATACATGTAAATTCAAAACTACAAAACTAACAGCTTTAATAGTCAGAAGTACTGTAAAAGTGGAATATGTCATTGCTTGCATTATTTAATGCATGAATAAAAAATTTACGAATTTAAAAACTATACTGACTTAAAAACTAATTATAGACCACTGGAAGTGAGAATTGGAAATGAATTTCATTAATTTTATATACGGTATCTGCCCACGTCATAATTGGCTGTAATTTTCGTTGGAAAGTTTGTTAAGGAAGTCGGCAATGAATGCAAGAAGAAAATGCCTCACTTACCTGCTGTAGCTCTATCAAAAGCTAAAATGTGCTTGTTATAAGAAAAAAGATTTGCCTTTAAGCTTCTTCTCCAAAAGATGTGGTCCAATTTGCCCCAGA